GAGAGAGAGAGAGAGCAGGAATCGGTGAAGAGAGAGCTTGTGGCTTTCCATTGCATGGAAGAGCTCCATAGGCCTCACAACCCGCCCCTCCCTTCACATTCCCTTCATCACAATGCTCAGTAGGGTTAACAGAGAGATGGTAACCAATTTTGTGAATGAGCTAACAAACCCAAGTGCAAAATCAGTTCTTTCGTGTGGCAAAAACACTTTACCAGTGCCTGCAACATACTAATATTGGTCAAATTCCCTCTCCACCCAAAGCCTTATACAGAGACGATGTTGATGGTTGCTGGCCAGCTTTAGAGATGGAGTCCAACAAGAAATTGCAGATAGATAGAGAGGGTTTGAGAGAGGAATGGAGGAGCATACCTTTGAAGAGAGAGACTGCCTCTTCCAATGCACCATCTCCCTTATTTTGACAGCAACACAGAATTCGTCACTCTTAACTCTTCCCCTGCATCAACAAGATCTGAATTCCTTCTTCCCATAACAGCAGAGCAAAAATAGGGCAAAATAACCTCCAATTTGATGGGGCATGACAACTAGGATTTCGGCATAATTAGAAGGGTTTGGCCATGGCTGAGAACGTGAGAACCTAGTCTCTCTCACTGTGCTCAATCCACCATTGAAGCTTGTGAATTGGATATTGCTCAAACATTCTCTATGAGTTCGTGTTTTCAGGAAAATGATTAAAGCTTCAAAACCCTAACATCCCTCGAAATAAACTCAAGAGATTTCGGGCAAATCTCCACTGAATGCAAAGACTTTGGGCCATGGACCAGACCACTAATCCATTAAACGAAATTTATGCACGCCTGCTATTACAGAGGAAAGGGAATTCAGGACCCAAATCCATGGTTGTATGAAAGGCCATGGATCCTTCTTTGATGAATAAAGAGCGCCATTTGGGAGCTCAAAACTAGGTTCAAAAGCAAGAGGATTTGAGATTCAGCAATTGCAGTCAGCCAACTTAGAGAGAGAGGATTACAGATTGGGATGGTCACGATTTGTTACAGAGAGACGCAAATGGAGAGTGTTTGTACTTTCTAGAGAAAGAAAGTCCCGTGGAGAGAGTGTTTGTAGAGAGAGAAACTTGAGGGTAGAAAGTTTTTCCCGAAAGCCAGAAGATAGTTTACACTCGCGGGAGTTGATTGTCCATTTACTCCCGGTAAAATCCCACTCTGAAATTTTGAATTAATCTTATACGCTGTATTTAAAAAGGGTGCGGTTTGTATAGGGCCGAGGCTCCAAACAATCAAAATAAAGTGCGACAAAATTTGGTTAGCGGATCTTTGTGATAGCTTTAAATTATACTTTTATAGTTAATTACAAAATTTAAAGTTTCAAAAATCTAGTAGATCGGTGAAAATTTGACGATCTTGAAAATTGATGGTCCAAAAATATGTTACAAGATGCATTATTTTTCAAACTTGAAACCCATTTTTTTCTCATGTCCATGCATCATGATGTCGAGATGATCAATTTGAAGATAATTGAACATCAAAACAGCCTCTTCTAATAAAATTTTTGAAGTGAGCTCCAATTTGGTTGTTTAGAGCCTCGACTCTATATAAACTTTTTCTTTTAAAAATTCGGAGGTCTTTTCCACGAGCGAAGTTACTCAGGCTCATGCCTAAGTCGAGCTTGAGTTGGAGGTCCAACTTGGGAATCTTAAAAAAAATAATTAAAAATACATATAAAAATTTCAAAAAATAAAAAAATATTTGTAACATATTTATTTATAGGAAAGAGTTTATATCGAGCCAAGGCTCCAAACAATCAAATTAAAGCTCACCTCAAAAATTTCACTAGAATAGGTTGTTTTGATGCCCAGATATCCTCAAATTAATCATTTCGATATCAAGATGCATGGGTATGAGAAAAAAATAGATTCCAAGTTTTGGAAATTGTGCATCTTGTAAGTATTTTTGGACCATCAATTTTCAAGATTTTCAAATTTTCATGGATATGCTCAATCTACATGACCTTTGAAGTTTTAAATTTATAATTAAAAATAATAATATATTTTAAAGCTATCACAAAGATTTCTAGTATTGAAACTACATTTCTCGATACTATTTGAAAGTACGGTTTACTTTGATTGTTTAGAGCCGAGGCTTTATACAAACGGCACCTTATTTATATTGGTAACATGGTTATTTAGATGTGAAATCGAGATGATTTAAGTGTATCGTAATATTTGAGAAAATTTATTCTACATCTCCCATCATTGATTTCAAATTTATCAGTCAACTACATTTGAATGTGAACTCCTTATACCAAAAGTAACCACCCAACAATTATTTATCTCACACCATCATCATCATCATTATAGTTTTTTTTTCCAACTATTTAGAATCTGCTATATGAATCTTAGTCCGTCATTCTACTCTACCAATGCCGTTATAATTTCTCATATATTTTCTCACTACTTCCTCCCATGTTCTTTTGGGTCTCTCTTTTTTTATCATTCTACTTGAACCAACTCGCACTTCTTAATACAAGTCGTACTGGATTTGTGCTACACATGGTCACTCCACTTAAATCTATTTTCTCTCATCTTATGACCTATTGGAGTTGCACCTAAATTCTCCCGAATACATTCACTTTTTTACCGTCCAACATTCTGCCCCATAAAAAGGCAAAGTTAGTCTCATATATGTTCTATAGAACTTCCCCTTCGGCTTCATTGGAATATAATACTTCTGTTGCAACATTTCCACTTTACCACCCAGCTCTAATTCTATGCATGACATCCTTTTCAATCTCTTTATTTTCCTGGGTTATCAACTTAAAAAATCAAAAGTATTTCTTGATTGTCAATCTTAACTACTTCCTGATATCTACTATTAATATTACTAAAATTGTAGTTCACATACTTTATCTTAGTCCAACTAATTTTAAAAATTTAGATTCTAGAGCATCCCTCTAAAGTTCTAATTTTGTGTTAACACCGCTTCGGGTGTCACTAATAAAAACTATATTGTCGGTGAACAACTTACATTATGATACCTCTTATTGTAGATACCTAGTTAAGTCATTCATAACTAGGACAAAGAGGTATGAGCTCAATATTGATCCCTAATGTAGACCTATTGCCATTGAAAACCTACTTGGCTCTCTATTATCTATCTAAGAAAAATGTTTATCTAAAGGTGAGGCCCTAAACAATCAAATTAAGGCCTACCTAAAAAATTCACTAGAAAAAGTTATTTTGATGCCAAAAAATGATCAAATTAATCATCTCAACGTCAAGATGTATAATATGAATAAAAATAGATTTCAAGTCTCATAAATAATGCATCTTGTGATGCACTTGCTAGACTGTCAATTTTCAAGATTTTTAACTGTTCATAAATTTGCTTGTTCTACATTATTGTTTTTGAGCTTTAAATTTTACAATTAGAGATAAAAATAATATTTTAGGATATCACAACAATTGTCAAAACAACATTTTTCAATACTATTTAAAGGTGCAACTTTTTTTTGATTGTTTAGGGCATCAACCTTGTACAAACCATATATCCAATGACACAACATTTTTTCTCTCTTAATAACTCTCTCTCAAAATTGGAAAAAGTTCATATAAGTACGAAGCTCTAAACAATCAAATTAAAAGCGGACTTGAAAATTTTCACTACAAGAGGTTGTTTTGATGCCCAAAAATCTTCAAATAGATCATCTTGATCTTAGTGCGTTTTTGGATCGTCAATTTTCAAGATTTTTAAGTGTTCATAGATCTGCTCGATCTAGACCAATTTAAAATTTTAAATTTTATAATTAAAGATGAAAATGAATTTCCAAGCTATCACAAAGAGTTGACATTATTTAAAAGTGTATCTGTGCATCTTACTTTGATTGTTCAGGGCCTCGACCATATACAAACAACCCCACAAAATAAGTTTCTATAGGACTAAGGTTTTATGAAAACAAAATAAAGCTTCATTTCAATTCCTCATCCAAAAAAGCACTTTGAGCAACATGAATCTCTATGAGCGCTTTAAAATCAATTTCTAAATGCGACAACAAAATTTTATACTAAAGAAATGGTACAGAGATCTTGTGAACACTTATTTTTGAAGTAATTTATTATAATATATATTAGTTTTAGAGATTGAAATTGAAATCCTAATCGTTTTCTGAGCTAAAAAATGGCGTACTTTATTCAGGCAAAGAGGAGCTAATGCCATCAATAGAACAAGAGTTTCGTGTCTCAGAGTCTTCATTCCTCTGCAAGTGTAACTTTGTCTCGTGCCCTTCAATGGATGCGTGGTATGGTTTCAATGGATGGGTGGTATGTTTGGGCTTCCCAAAGTCCAAGCATTTACTGGAGATCGATGAGTTCTCTTGGCTAACGGCTGGAAGGAATTCTAGGGTTTTCAAGTTTCCAGGTTTCAACCGCTGGAAAGATGAGGTCATCGACGCATTAGTGAACAACATCAATTCACAAGCTTCAACTGTGAGGAAAATAGAGGAAGCGATTAATTTATTACAGGCGATGTACCAAGATGGCGTGGAACCCAATATTATTACATATAATTCTCTTCTAAATGGTTTGTGTAAGGATGGGAAAATAGAGGAAGCAATCAAATTATTTGAGCTGATGTATCAAGGTTCGATGGAACCCGATGTTATTATATATAATGCTCTTCTGAATGGCCTTTGCAGAAAAGGTTTAGTGGATGAAGGAAGAAAAAGAGCAGGCTTCTACAACAAAATGATTTGTTGGTGATATGGGTGATAGTTATTATTTGTTGCATTATGGAATCACATGGCTGATTAAGAAAATAATTTGACCCTTCTTTAGTCAAAATCATTTAACACTAGTGTAAAATTTGCGTGATTTTAATTTCGTTGATCATATAAAGCATTGTACAGATTGTATTTTACAGATTGTATCCTTTAAGATATAGAAATGATTGAAAAGGTAATGAACATCTCATATAATTCTATAGCAGCATCAAAAAAAAAATCTCACAATTTTTTTTATATATATCTTCTATGTTTATGACAGCATATTGAAAATATGACTTAATGTTGTTGACACCTTTGACTTTACTAAATATCATCACAGGAGAATTTGTTTACATAAATTAATGATAAGAAAGACTTGTTAATTTACTCAATAAATGTAAATATTTTGAAAAGTGATTTGATGATGGGGGAAAGCATGGTAATTGGAATTGTAGGTTGCTCATTGGCAAAGTGAAAATCTATTCCAGTGTGTTTTATTTATTTATGAAATTCATGGTTAAAAAAATCCAAATGGATCTCAGGTCTCAAATTGTCACACCAAAGAAGCATCTGTTTAATTTCACGCCCCTGTCCGGTTGAGGGGCTGGAATTCTTGCCTCACTAGAAAATTGAGGATATCTGAGCATCTTGGTTGTGTTGAGGTCGAGCCCATGCCTTGTGCAATATTTATTGGAAATTGGGACATTCCCAGTGTCTTGCTTATGTGCACCGTGTAGAAACAATATCATGTTTCCTATTTGATAGGGGATTGATCTTCATTCTATTCTTTTTTGAAGGATCTTGTATTTTCATAGAGCAGATGGTAAGTTTGTTTGCCAAGTCACTAAGCAAAGGTCTACATGAATACTTGTTGAACAAGGTGAAACTTATTTCCATGGTTGCTCCAGTTTGTGAAACGGTTCATCTTTCTTGTATATAGTTCTCACCATTGTAATGACAAGTAAAAAAAAATATCACCATTGTACATTATCTGCATGTGCAATTCAAGGCTACTCGAGTAATTATTTTTTCATTGATATTTTTCATGACCTATGAGGATAATTCTGTTTTGTTTTTTGCATATGGGATTTAGTTCCTCAATTTTAGTGGGGATCAGTCTTGTCAAGTTTCTACACCGAGTTTTATTGTTGGAGGGTGGAACTGCTCATTACTTATTCCTCCAATCTCATGTAAGCGCCTCTCATTCCTCCTATTCCTTTGTGGTAGGTTTTTTCTGCATTATTTGCAAGACGTTTTCTACTCCCCTGTTCTTATTTGCTCCCTTAACTCTTTAGGTCTTTTAACTTTTATTTTTACAGTAGGGTCTACTTCTGACGTCTTTAAGATGTTTGCTGACTGTCCCAAGAGGTTGCACATTTCACATACTCCATTATGAGATCATGGATAGATTTGTGCAACCTCTTTCATCACTGCTCTCTCTGCTATTATACTTTGATAACTGACAAAAATTTAAGCTTTCAAGAGAGATTCATTCTTTGAATGGACTTAGGCTACGGAGTACGGATTTCCATGCCCCTGAGGTATTGGTTGCCAACCGAACAAGATGGTAGCCAAGTAGAGGAATTGAGCCGATTTTTGTGGTGGAAGACATCCTGCCAAAGGTGGTTTTCTTGAGTGGCCTGGAGCCACCACCATTTTCCTAGGGGGTTATATTGTTTCTTTTGAGGACATGGGTTAGGCAAGCGAACTCCCAGGAGATAAGATGGTTCTTGCGGCTTTCCCCTTCGCCCGACCATTGGAAATTCCTCATCAGCTATTTGAGGTGGTTGGAATAAAGACATTTGGAAGATGGGGACATTGGAGAGGTTTGCTTTGATTAGGCAAGCAAACTCTGTATCCCCCATCAAACTAAGATACATGCCTTTGTAGCCTATTCTGTCGTTTTAATCATGAAATACTTCTTCTTTTTTTAAAAAAAATTATCAACAGTATTTAATGAAATAATGTTTGCCAACCCATTTCAGATACATGACAGTCATTGATATTGAGCAAAATCTGTGGTTTGTCCTTAGACAGTGATTCCAGATCCTCCTCATGTGCTACACTGCTTGCTATTCATAAACTATTCAATATAGGCATCTTGATGGCTACAAAAGGTTGTCTCATTATGACTATTTTTTATTTAAATGTACGATGTGGTGGGGGAGCATTTTACCTCAATCAGTATTTGCAGTATCGGTTGGTTCAACTTGGAACGGGAGGGTTAGATCTGAACTGTGCATTGGTTGGTTCCGGTTTCAGCTGGTTTTGGTGATCTGGCCAGATATTTGAAAGAAAATTTAAAGTTAAAAAAAAAATCTCAAAAAATAAGGGATTTGTTTGTGATGCATTTTTTAATGTTTTTTATCATTTGGCAAAGATTGGAAAGTGTTTTGGTCATGAATACTTCTCCTTTTTGAAAAATTTTAAAAATACCGCTGAGCATATATCGCCTTTTTAAAATCCCATTTTTTCACTAATTTTCAACTTTATTTGGATGTGGTAGGTTTAATCAATGCTTTAAATAAATTTCATTTTTTTTGGATTTTTTTTTGTCCTTTTTTTTTTTTTTACCGGTCGGGACTTTCACTATTAGGCTAATTGAACCGGCTAGTTTACGAGTTACTCGGAGATTTTTTGAACAGTGGCCTCAATTGAAAAAATATGGTCTTTTCAATGAGCAAGTACCCTGCACCTGAGTAGAACATACTTGGAGTTTAGCTAATGTTTTCCCTCAAAAAGCTATTGGCATTCCCTTCAGGGCATAAAGTGAAGCCTAAGACTGGTTCAAAGGTACAATATAAGTTTGTAGGTAGGTGTTTAGTGAAGCAAGGTGGGTGTTTGGTTGTTACTTACACTTAGAACACTCATACCCATGGTTGTATCTGGATGATGGTATTATCACTGATATATTAGAGATACTTAAGGGAGATTGGTTGGGTGATGGCTAAAAACATCAAGGATTAAAAGATACAATCTATCTCATAAAAGAATGGGAAAAGTTTAGGAAAATTGTTTCATGTGGGCTGGACCGTATTTCTACATATGCGGTCTCGAAATATAAAGCATCCATCTTTATGGATGCAAATATGTGGTCTATTTAAAAACAATAAAAACTAATGGTCCAAATGTTTTTTAATAGAATTATTATTTCTAATTTTTAGAATTTATTAGTTTTTCATTTTCATATCTCCATGTTAAATATTACATTATCTTTTAAAATTAAGTCAAAAACTCTATCTCAAAAATAGATTTTATTAAGGGGCTCACATTTCTACATGTGCAGGCTGGGCCTACATGCCAACCGTGTCCAAAACCTTATATAAGGTTGAGGCTCTAAACAATCAAATTAAGGCTCACCTCAAAAATTCGCTAGAAGTTGTTTTGATGCTAAAAAACCTTCAAACCCGATCATCTCAACCTTGAGATATAAGGACATCAAAACATTCAAGTCTTTGAAACAGTGCATTTTGTAATGCATTATCTAGACCGTCAATTTTCAAGTTTTTCAAGTGTTTATAGTATGTTTGATCTACACTATTTTTGAAGCTTTAATTTTTATAATTAGAGATGAAAATAAATTTTCAAGTCATCATAAATTTTTTTAGTAATAAAAAAAATCTTTCGATACTATTTGAGGGTACATCTTACTTTGATTGTTTGGGGCTGAGCTTTATACAAACCACACCCTAAAAGAATGACAGGTGCTCAAAGAAAATCGGTTCTAAATCTTCAACATGGATTGTACTTTATGAGCTTGGTTTGGAATTGTTTGATCGTCACACCAGGGAAGAAGCAAAAACATAATCAACTTCAATTACTAATTATATTAAAAAACCACAATAAAATGTAAATTACCTTCTGCGACATATCGTGACACAATAATCAGTGATCTCTGTAGATCATGTAGCATACATCTTAGCACATGCACTTTATAAAATCTCGGGAAAAATTTTAAAACCCCTGAAATTTGATGTTCTCCTCATAATGTCCTTCGTACTTTTTTCTCACGTACTATTCAACTTTATTTATCGGTCGAATGAAATTTTTTTTTTTGTTTATATCTCGTATCGAAGAGTGATTTCAAATTTTGGCCTCACCAAAAACAACTAACAAAACTCATATGACAGTGCAATCAAATACCATTAGAATAGAAAATGGGAAAAGTTTATATAGAGCCGAGGCTCTAAACAATCATATTTGAGCCGACATCAAAAATTTCACTAGAAGAGGTTGTTTTGATGTCCAAATATCTTTAAATTGATCATCTCGACATCAAGATACATGGACGGACGTGAGAAAAAAATGGATTTCAAGTTTTGGAAATAGTTTACTATGTACACATTTTTAGACCATCAATTTTCACGATTTTTAAGTTTTCATAGATCTGTCATTCTACACTATTTTTTAAACTTTATAAATAAATATAAAAAATATATTTTAAAATTATCACAGAGATTTTCAGTATTGAAACCACATTTTTCGACACTATTTGAAGGTAAGCTCTAATTTGGTTGTTTAGAACTTAGGCTATGCACAAACCGCGCCCATAGAAAATAGGTATTAAATGCCACCTACGAGACACGAGAGATGCTACGAGAGAGAGTGTAGGCCCTTAAAGATAGCAGAATTAGATGATATAAATATCATAGTCATACCAAATAGGATGAAGTTTTTATAAAGCCGACGCTTTATGAAAACAAAATAAAGCTTTATCCGTGGTCTAGAAAGTATTTTTAGCACAGAAATTTTCATAAAGGCTCTAAAATCAGTTTCCTACATGGACAATAAAATTTGAAATTTTAAAAATGGTACAAATCTTGCAGATCTTTGTATACTTATTTTTAGGGTAAAATAGATGGTCAAGGTAATATACGGCTATTTTTAGAACTTAAAATCCTAATTTTTTTCAAACCACAATGTTCAAGTCGAGATGATCGGTAAAGGTTTTCTAACGCTTGAATTACAATTTTTAATGAGTTGTAAAGCGAGGCTATGTTGTCATAAATAAACAACTATTAAATGCTGCAATCGAGTTGTGAGAGAGGTAAGTTCTAAGCGGGATGGAGTTGGGGAGCAACAGGTCAGATAAACAGGTAGGCTCAAGGGAAGAGAGTTTTTTTTTTTTCTTATAATGTTAGAGAGAGATATTAGCAAGCATTTTTGTTGTGATTTCAAAGAAACTCGCAAGGAAGCATGTCTACAAAAGATCATTTATCTTTTGTATATGAAAGCCACCATCATTTATACTTATTAGATGTCAAATTGGGTAGTTTAAGACAAATCACGAAGTTCCATTCCTTTTTTTACTTGACTTTAGGACACGGTTTCTATGTGGCCAACTCGCATGGTGTAGAAATACAGGCTTGGCAATAAATATAATTTTTAAATATAATATGATCCTAATTTTTAAAGAATATATAATCTTTAACATAGAGATCATGAAAATAAAAAAGAAAAAATAAAGAAATTAAAACTAGAAATAATAATTATACTAAGAAAACATTTGGACCGATAGACCACCTATTGCATCCATCTTTAAGATAGATGTTTTATACCTTTGAACCGCATATTGAAGATATGCGGTCCAGCCCACAAGAAACAATTTTCCTTCTTACTGGTATCCCAAAATGTATGGAAAAAAGCGAGGGGATATCCATCTGATTCTTACTGGTATCCCAAAATATATGGAAGAAAGCGAGGGGATATCCATCTGATTCTTACTGGTATCCCAAAATGTAGAGGGGATATGCATATGATCCTGGAGCCTTGTCTCTTAGGAGATGATGAAACCTTGTTTCTTAGGAGGGAAGGCAGTGAATTAACAAATTGTTCAATTACTACAGATGAATACCTAAACTGTTGTGCTCACCAAAGATACATCTATAAGAGAGACAAAACGCAGTTGTTGACATTTAGAAGAGAAGCTTCACTTTATTCAAACCATTACAGAGGGTTGTACGGTAAAGAGAGAGGAGCCCCTCCCAGTTCAACTCTTCAGAGAGAGAGAGGGGGCTGGCTCCTCACATTCAGCTCCGAATTGCTCTGAGAAGTAGTGACCAAGAGAAGCAAAAAAGAATGCACCTTACATAGAAGAATTATAATAATACACACTCTGAAATCTGTTCGATATGGGGCTCATTCTCGCTAGATACAACATCCCCAGGGCTTTACCAAGAAAATCCAATAAAACAAGAGCAGTTCCCTCTGTCTCTAAATAATCAGCAACAAGCCCAGCAAAAAATGCGGATAAAAAATATATCAATAAAATTTTACCTGCTTTAATACCATCAAACCTGACCAGAGATGCATGTCTATAAGTATCTGACAAATTAACGACATGCTTTCATTAGATATGAAGATGGGCTTGACAAGTTGATTGAACTTGACCATTGATTATTTCCCCCAACCCCATTTTCTTTGGTGTTTGATGCTTTACCAGGAGTATCACACCCGCTAAAATCCAAAACCCGTGCCTCCGAACAAAACTGTAAATTAGGAACAAAGGAGAAAAGCAGTTCTGAGTTACATTACATATCCATTAAACCATATAAACCATGAATGTAAAGCAAAATTCATAAAAAGGAGCAGCCAGAAAAGATCAGGTTATAGTTAGTATTTGTCTGTGTGCAAGCGTGCATGCATGTGAGAGAGATAAAGTGAGAGTGAGTGTGAGAGAGAGAGTGGAAGAGAGGGAGAAAAAGATGAACATGAGGGAAGCTTTTTGTAAGAATATATATATATATATATGGGTGCGGTTTGTATAGAGCCGAGGCTCTAAACAATTAAAGCAAAGCGCACCTTCAAATAGTATCGAGAAATGTAGTTCCAATACTGGAAATCTTTTATGATAGCCTTAAAATATATTTTCATCTTTAATTATAAAATTTAAAGCTTCAAAAATAGTGTAAATCGAGAAGATCTATGAAAACTTAAAAATCTTGAAAATTGACAGTCCAAACAAAAATGCGTTACAACATGCACTATTTTCAAAACTTGAAATCCATTTTTTTCTCATGTCCATGCATCTTGATGTCGAGATGATCAATTTGAGGATATTTGGGCATCAAAACAACATCTTCTAGTGAAATTTTTGAGGTAAGTCTCTAATTTGATTGTTTTAGAGCCTTGGCTCTATATAAACTTTTTTCATATATATATATATATATATATATATATATATATATATATATATAGAGAGAGAGA